TATGACATATTAATATTTTCTATCAGCAAACACTTTTTTGTTTACTTGAAGCTAGAAAACTTTTTGAAGCCGATAAGTCAAGAACCTCATGCAATATTGTAACTGGATGAGTTTAGTCTCAGGACCTGACACTTAGGAAATAAAGTGATGAAGTAGATACATGATCTAAAACTTAGGCTAAGGACTGGCCTAGCATAAAAATCATGCCCATAAAGGGTCTTCATTGGTCCTACAAAATACCACAAACACAAATCTGTTTGATGTCACCTAAATCTAGACCAAACATATAATTTTGGGTGAAAAGGTACATGGAAAAGTGTTAATCATTTTGTTGTCATACAAAATACTACAAGTAAAACTCTTACTCAGGAAAAACATTTACTTCATCAAGCATTCCTGGCAGTGGCCGGAAGTAGTCACAGAAAAAATTCACAATTTTTTTTAATACCCAAACACAATGTAAAGTAATACATTTAAAAACATTTTTATGTTAGTTATTTATTGCAATAATAGCATGATGCATGATATGTAACATTATATGAAAAGTACATCATATACACACTTTAATAACATGACGTATATAACTGTCATACAAGGTGATATATATATAAAAAAATAAATGAGGAACAAGGTTACTCGCCTGGCTTACCACTACCTGAAGAACATGGCTTTACATCTGACCAGAGGAATGCGGTGCCTAACCTGACTTTGCATTATATCAGTCCAGGTTACAATCCTGGATGGCTCCTTATATATTTTGTTCATTATAAATTGAATTTATTGACACATCGTCTTATCTAAGCATTTCTTCATTAAGATTAATAGTGTCATGCTTTTTGATCAAACAATACTATACAAAAAGATGTATTTATATATAATGTAGAGTCGAGTACACCTTACAGGCATATATGAGGTCAATCATCACTTGAATGATTGTAAAATTCATTCATTTAACCTATATGACCTTAAAGAATTATAAATATAAATTTTAAAATTTTGACTTTTTTCCTTCATTCTTCCTTCCCATATCAAACAAGTCCCAGTGCTCATCTACAGGATAAATATGAATCAACAGCAAACACCTGAAAGAGGCATAATTTGCCATCTTGCTCTGATCAGAAGTTAATATTCAATGTCAATTATGTTAGACTAGCATCTAGCCCTTCAAAAATGACAGGGCAAGTATTACCATCCCCACCCCATAGTATACTCTAACCTCACATTTCATAGCTAACTGAAATAAATAAATTTTGCAAAATCAAGCTTGACCAACAAAGAGGCAGAAAAGTGCAATCGAGGCAGTCAAGCACAAGTAAATTCCTTTGTGACCCAATCAAAAATTAAGATTGTTCATGAAATGAATTCATGGTATATTTATAGAATAATTATTGGTAAATGTAAAAATCAGTTAGATTACAACTTCTACTACATAGAAAAGTCAGTGCATTTTGATAATATTATGTTCCAACAATGGCTTTTATGTGATGTTTCTTAGCAACAAAAGTATAACCTAATATTGTTGTAAGTCTCTGTACTGAAAATATAAAATAAATGGATAGACAACAAAACTGGAAAAATATTTGTTGATTTTTTAATTTAGTCTCCATTAATTAAAGATGTTTATTTTTTATTAAAAATGTTGGTGATATAACAGAAACTAGCTTAATTCAGAAATGAATTAACTTTAAAATTTAATCAATATTTTTTACTTTCATGATAAATCTTATGTACTTTGCTCTAGGTTAGGTGATCACACACACTACGTATTTACTTTAGGCTTATTATACCAAAACTCACTACACTTGTATGGTTTCACAGCACTTCCCCCTCACTAAAATCATAATGGGCAGAAATAAATCAAACCATTCTATCTGGATAAATGCATTTTGGATTTTATGAGAAATCAAGAATGATACACTGGCTTTTTATATAGGTTAGAATGTTAGATGAACCAGACATGACTCGTCATTGTAAATATAAAGGACTAGATTCAAATTACGGCAATGGCATTACGCATGGTTATTCTATTGAAGATGGTGTGTCACTTATGATGATGATCTTGAAAATAGTATAAATAGAGGTGTTTTTGATGCCCATAAGGATGTATGTGGCTTTGAAAATACAGATAATCCTTTTGTACCTCATCTAATAAAATATAAAATAAATTACTCTACAGCTGAGTTCTGCTTCGATTAGTTACAAAATTCTAACTTCCTACAAACATAACACAAATTGATCAAACAATATTATTTTCAGTTTTGTATAACTTCCACCTTTGGGTCTTGTTAAAATACAAAGAATTTATCATATTTTTAATATATATATACATATATATATATATATATATATATATATATATA